CCCCCCAAAACCCCCAACCCGACCAACCGAACTTAACTTAGTCACTACTACTTACGTCCTACTCGTACTACTTCGTCCACTTCTCTACTCGTCTCTCTCTCTCTCTCTCTCTCTCTCTCTCTCTCTCTCTCTCTCGCATAAAGAGTCACTTTTGACAAAATGAGTTAATTAATCAGTGAAAGCAACAATACCAAGGCACTCGATTGGCCACTACTTTACAAATTCCTACTTTCTTTTTTTTTAGTGTTACCAACCTCACAAAGAGGAAGCTTACCTTCTCCCCCTCCTCCCCCGCCCCCCCCAAAAAAAAAAAACCGAAAAAAGGGGTGATCATCATTCCTGCAAGGAAAAAGTCTATATAAAGTGTCAACGTATAACAAAGGTACTTGTAAAATATTTGAGTATCTTGTGAATACGATATCTTTCTTTAAACATGTGGAAACTATATTTCTTTAAGGACACGGTTCCTATGAGCGACTATTAAAAATGTGTTTTTGAGATGGATTTTCAGGCAGGACATGTAATCTCTAACACGGAGATCATGAATATAAAAATATAAATAAATTTTAAGAAATAACGATAAGAATTTTATAAAAAAAACATTTGAACCGTTAGTTTTAATTACTTTTAGATGGACCACCTATTTGCATCTATCTTTAAAATGGATACTTTATACCTTGTCATTGCACATTGTAGCAATACGGCCCAAAACAATTTTCCTTTCCTTAAACATGTCAAATCTTCTCCTTTAATCTCTCGTTTTGGAATATGCTAAGCTCTGTTCCGATATAGGAAATTTAAAACCTTGACCACAAATTCCCCACTGCAGAGAGAGATTATATGTATAAATTTTAGAGTAAAATGAAAAAATTTGTCCATTACTCTAAATCCATGGAAGAGGTAGTTTTGCTCTACAAAAGGCTTTAGCTACACATCATTAGAAGTTAGGAGAAAGAGATTATTCATACTATTTTAGCGTAAGAGGGAAAATTTTATTTAACTCTAGAGGGTGAGGTTTGTGTAAAATGCCCACTAGTACGAGACAGGGACAACTCCAAACTTTGCCGAAAAATATAGTTCGTGTCAAAAACTTTAGAATAGCTTGAAAATCTTTGTATCCTAACTATAGAATTTAAGTTTTCAAAACTAGTGCAAATCGAGCGTATCTATTAATACAACTACTGATTACAAGATGCATTGCTCTTAAGACTTCATTTTTTTTTATTATATATATTCATATATCTCAAATTCGAGATGACCAATTGGGACGTTTTCCAACTTCGGAACACATTTTTACTGAGTTCACCTTTTTATAGTATACAATTGCAACCTCATACAAACTTCTTCCTACTCTAAATACAGAAGGGGTAGTTTTGCTCTCCAAAACGCTTTAGATATACAACATTAGAATCCATTAGAAGTTAAGCCACTGAAGCATCAAGGCAAAGCCTACCCGGACCCGGTTTCTATGCGGTCAAAGTCTATCGAAGAGAACACCATCCACGTGTAGCCCTTCATACCCCAGAAAATAAAGAGAATTCACCTTTACTTTCAATCGATTGCAATGTACCCAAATTCATTATGCTCTATTTACTTTAATAAATTCCCTAATCTGAGGTAAAAGCACTCCACTGGAAGATATTCTTCTTCAAACTAAGCATAATAATACTAGTGAGGTCACAACAGAGCACGCACTCACGCCTCACAAGCTGTTGCTATCTGCAGCATGGGCAAAGAACAAATTATAATGATGCGCCGCTTCCCTATGCAATCAAACAATTAGATCAAATTTCAATCTCTCTCTCTCTCTCTCTCTCTCTCTCTCTCTCTCTCTCTCTCTCTCTAAAGTGGATCTCTTTATCTGTAAAAACTAAACCTCCAAGTTAAAGATAAAGTCACTGGGTTTCGAAGTTTACTCAGCAAGCAGTAAACGAACAGAAACAGAAGATGATATGTAGTGCTTTTCATCCAGATGCTGAATGGCACTAATGTTTCAAGTTAGCTACATAAACAGATCATCCAATCCTCACAATACAAAACAGATCAAACATCAGAATGGAAGGCGTTGGAACCTCTAACAATAAGTATAATTCGCTGCAGCCGCTCTCAACTAGAGAGAGAAACTCCTAATTTACAATAAATAAATAAAGGAAGGGGACCACTTACTAGTACACAATGCGGGTAATGGAAGAATGATTTGAGAAGAGTCAGAAATCAAATTCCAAGCTCAGCAAGAAGCTTGTGCCACCGAGATGTTTCTTCTTCAAAAATGTATGTTAAGGGAGATACCAATACCCCGCTTCCTCCAATCTACATAAACAGTTAAGAAAACCATAGTAACAACTTTTGCTCTCAGGAATTTCAAGGCAAGGTAACTTTCAAAGATATTTTAAAATCTGAAACTTTCCAAGAGATCACAATGAAAACATAAAATAAAAACAATTACAGAACAGCAAAATATTTAAAAAATTTACTTGAAAAGTAAACTAAAGGGAAAAAGAGAATTGATGTCTTAAGTTTATATAAAACTTGCAGTTTTACCTTTATAGCATTTTTATACGAACACTCTATATATAAGAGAGCATGATTTATTTTTAAAAATGATATAAATCATCTTCATCGAGCCTTTTTCCAATTAATTAAGGTCAGCTACACGAACCCTAGTCTGTCATTATGCTCTATCAAGGACCATACCCTCAATGATACTATAAGTCCCCATATCTTTTCTTGTTACTTCCAATCATGTCTTTTTGGGCCTACCACTTACATTTTTAAGTTTTCCACTTGAACTCACTCGCACCTCCTAACAGCGGATGGACTAGATCTGATCTGCACATGGCCACCCACCTAAGTTTACTTTATCTTGTCATGTCGCCCATTGGTGTCACACCTAAATTCTCCCAAATGTATTCATTTTGAATTTCATCCATTCTTGTCTTAAGAAAATAAAAAATAAAAATTCAGAAAAATAGAAAGAAAAAACTCATGATTTCACCTCTTTTCCAATATCTCTTGGTCGTAAGACTTTCAAACAAAAGGGATATATTTCTCCATGTGCTACTTAAGGAGAGCCCTGAGTAAATGCTTAAATTATGATATCAAAGATGCATAGGAGAGGTTGCAACTCACCGCTCTTAGCTGTTGGACAGATTTATAAAGAAGCTTCTTGGGTACGCAGATGACAATTGCATAGTAATCTGTCACAATCCGTCCATTCCTCTTGCAAAAGACAGGGCTTATAGTGGGTCCCTGCATTAGTCAATTAAAAACAATTGGGAACCATGGCCTATAAAAGAAGCAGCTCATATGTGGAATTACATAAATTATTATATAAAAAGATATTTTAAGAAACATATAAGGTTTCTAGGTTTCTCACCTGCAATCCTGAAAAGGAGGTCTGATTAAGAATTCTCTCAGCCACTTCCTCTATACTGGCCCCTCTCATGTTAGCAGTAACCTGCCATGATCCACAACTAGACAGTGAATTTCAACAAGTCTGCTTCATTTGGAAAAAAAAAAACTTATCTCCATGATAAGTTAAGATGCCCAACAGAGCAATGGACAATATACAAGGAGTGGGGATGTGACTCCACATTTTCTGAAATCGATGGAATGAAAGCATAGATGTTTCCAATCCAAAAAATTGATACCCATTCATTCTTCATAAAAATAAATACACGCAAACAGACACACACACACACAAATGCATAGTAGTTCAGTGTGTATTAACTGTTTGTAAATGGAGGGGGGAGGGGGGGGGGGGGCTAGAGAGA